GACGCCGCAGGGCGCTGACGCTGCAGGCGGCCCCGGCCAGGTGGCCCGGCCCTTATGCAACCGCCGCGAAAGCCTCGCCGTGCCAGGGCAGCACAATTTGGGATTGGAGGAGTTTAGCCTTTAAACCGGAGCTCGGCCGGGCCCCCACGCGCCGCCCGGCGTGAGGCCGACGCTCTTACGGCTTCTCCCTTGCTGCCGCTCTGTCCTCCCGGGCCCCCTGCCCTGCCGAGGACTCACGGATGTGACACGAGTGGCCTGGGAAGGGCCAGCTGGGCGCYGGGACCCTACGGGCTTGGCCATGGGGTTGCATGGCCGTGCTGGGCTGTCCCGAGCGCAGGGAGCACTGCCGGCCCTTTGGTTGGGCTCAYGTCCTGGATCCAGGCACACGCCGGGCTGAGCTGAACGAGCGTCACAGGCCACTGCACCCCTCTGTCACCYGGACTGCAGAACCCTTCAACACCCATGGACAGCAATCCCTCCATCTCCCGTGGTCTGCGAGGTCCCTCCATCACCCATGGACTGCAGGATCTCTCCATCATCCATGGACTGTGAGGCTTCTCTCTCACCTCGTGGACTGCAAGGTCCTTCCATCACTGTGAGCTGCAGGATCTGTCCATCACTCAYGGGTTTCAAGGTCCCTCCATCACCCACAGGTTGCAAGGTCCCACCATCACCCCTGAGCTATAGGATCCCTCTTTCACCCCACAGGTTGCAGGCTCCCTCCATCACCCAAGGGCTGTAGGATCCCTCTGTCGCCCCATGGGATACAGGATGCCTCCCTCACTCATGGGCTCCAGGATCCCTCCACCACCCAATGGCCGTAGCCTTCATCCATCACCCTGGACTCCATCCTCCCTCTGTCACCCCAGGTTCTCAGCACMCCAGGAGGCCCCATCCCCTCTGGTGGCGCCCCGACCCCCTGCCTCGAGCCCTGCAGCCTCAAATCCTGACCTAGATCTCTGACAGCCGCCATCTGTAGCAGTGGCCGTCCTCCTCCCTCAGCAGAATTATGACGCTGGGTTAATGCGCAGAGGAGCAAGCTGTCAGATTGCTCTCCCCCGATCCCTTTGACGGGGCTTAGGTGCTTCGAGATCATTTAGAACATCCTCAGTCCTGCAAAAATAACTCCATGTGCCCAGCCAGGGCCCACGGGTGCCAATGTGGTGCTCCCATAGTGGTGCTCCCATAGTGGTGCTCCCATAGTGGTGCTCCTGGTACCACAGCAGGCTTCGGTGGGCTGCGGCTGGAAGACACCCATAGCGCACGTCCCCAGGGTGGACCTGCAGCACCGATGGGTGCAGGGTGGGCATCATCCTTGGCTTTGGGTGCTGGTTCCTCCCTCTCTGTCTGCTGGGTTTCAGCCCCAAAACACACTGTCCTCCCAGCACAAGACCCCGCTCCAGCCCAGTCCCATGGGACGTGGCCCCGCGGCTCCTTCCTCGCCCGCTCTGCCCGGGTGCCGTAGCCGCGGGCACCATCCCAGTCATGTGCAGCCCACTGTCCCGGGCAGGATCCGGCCCTGGGCGCCTCGGGCCCGGCGCCGTGTGCTGACTTGGCTAATTTACGGGCCGGGCCRTGCTCCCCTCCTCTTAGTCAGTAAAAAGCCAGCTCTGGCGCGGGGATTTGGGAGGGGGGATTAGCTGCGCCAACCATCTGCTACCAGGCCAATAATCATCACCGCGAGGAAATCCAATAATTAAAAAAATATTGTTGCCACCCACGGTGGCCACAGCTCGCCCTGGCGCCACCTGTCCCCCCAGCGCTGGGGGCCACGCTGACCACCCTGCCCCAGCCCTCAAGGCACTTGTGGGTACCCTGCCAGACGGGGAGCTGCGGGTGCTCCATGGGGCAGTTTAGGAGGAGGGTCCTGGGCACATGCAGCACAAGCAGCGTCGCTGCCAGGCCTGATGCCCCCGTGGGAGGGCAGGTGCTGGGACCAGCAGGGTCCTCGGGGCGCACCAGCGGGCAGAGCGAGGGCGAAGCGCCGTGAAGGAGCAAACGTTAAACCCCGCCGCGGGGTCGTGACTCAGCTCCGTGACAGACRCTGGGGCAGATGCCATGGGATTACTCAGCCTAAAACCTTGGAATTTGCTCCCCCCTCGCCCCAGCAGGCAGAGAGCATTTAATTACTAATTTACTAATTACCCGAGGATGCTGCCGACAGGCTCAAAAACTCCTGCCGGGGAGGCAGCCCTGGGGCTGGCTGGTCTCAGCCGTAATCCGGAGGGCAGTCCCGGCCCACGGAGCCACCGTACCCCAGGGCATCGCTGCGTCGTCTGGAGACGGGGCCGGCTCCCGGACAGGCAGCTCTTTCCAGAGAGCCGGCGTCTCCCGGCGGTGGCAATTCCTGCATGAGGTTCAAGCGCCAARTCCATTGGCAGGGCTAAAGGGAATCATTTTGATGGATGGGGTTTTCYGATGGGAAGTGCAGGCAGGGAGCTTCCCCAAGGAGAGCTCCCTTTGAAATTACGATGGTCTTGTTGCAGGGCTGGGATTTCTCCCTGAGGAACTCCAAGCACAGCCTCATCCTTTGGGACGCCCTGGTGTATTTTGGGCTGATCCCAGGAGCAGGAAGGTGGGTTTGAGTGTCCCAGCTGCACAGTGCCATGCCAAGCAGACTGCTGCGGAGGCCAGTGGGGTCTGGCAGGGGACAGKGAGGACACAAGACAATAAGGGAGCTTGGGAGGGATTCTGGGAACTGGGAGGCAGTGATGGGGATGAGGGTAGATTGAGAGATGGAGACCAGAATAGGACAATGTGCATGAGGTGGGAATGACGGTAATCAGGATGGGATGACTGGGGATGAGGATGGCATGATGAAGACCAGAAAGGGTTGGTAGGGACCAGGAAGTGATGGTGGCAGTCAGGATGGCATGATGAGGATCAGAAAGGTTGATGGAACCTGGTAGGGAATGGTGGGGAGCAGAAGAGTATAATGGGGACCATAAAGGTGATGGGGGACCAAAAGCAGATGAGAAGGTCTAGGATGTGAGATGAATGTGCGACTCTGCCAGCCCCATGACACCTCCAGCAGCACCAGGAGGTGGTTGTGAAGAGTTAACGAGGTCACCAGGCACTCAACAGTCACCTGGGCTCGTGGGAGCGGCTGCCAGGCCTGGGCTCTGGTTTCACCAGTAATTAGCTCTCGCTTATTGGCAGCTCTTTCTCCCTTTGTGCACCTGCAGGGAGGGCAGCAGCCCACAGCCTTGCTGTGATAAATGATGCTGTGGGCTCCCAGGTCACCGGATGACACGGGATGCTTGGTGACAGCTCCCACATCAGCCGCTCCAAGACCCGCCAAAGCCTTCGCTGACCCCCAGCGCGAGGATTAAAGTTTAATGTGGCTCCGTGGTTGACCTGGCCTGCGAAACCGGCGCTGCGGCGGCTGCCTGCAGTGCACTTCTGCTCCGCGCGTGGCCCCGCTGCTTGATCCAACAGGCACCCGGGCCAGCGCACATGATACTCTTCACTGGTGGCACCTGGGCAGCCACCATGTGGGGTGGGCAAGCCATGAAGCGGGGCTGCACCCCTGTGCGGATGCCAGTGCAGGAGGGCTGCAAGCGAGGGCGAGCTGTGTTTGTTCCCGCTGGGATGGGCCCTGCCACACCGTGGCCTTCAATGAGCGAGGATGGGCTCCATGCCACGGGCTTGCGGTGGTCAGGCCGGTCGGGACAGTCTGGGCACATTCCCACAGCCCCCCTTCACTCTTCCGGGCACGTGGAGGCGGGGATGGCCTTACCTCGCCCTGGCACCGAGCGCTGCAGAAAGCGCCACACTTGCTCGCRGACTCGTGCCGCCCTGTGCACCCCGGTGTCCCGGCCCCACTGCGYGCCCCTGGGTGCAGAGAGGTGAGTGCTGGCCAGACGCCTCCACTCCGGACCAACACCGGGAGCGTGTGAGTGCGTGGTGCCCATGGGAATGCGGGCAAAGTGCCGGGATGAAGGTCTGCCCTTCCCG